GCAGCTTTCTTTTGTTTTTTCTCCCCCCGCGTGGGGGGGACATCCCCCCCCGGGGGCCCCGGCCCCGACAGCCTTTTTTTTTTTTTTTTTTACACATCCCCGTTTTTTTTTTTTTTTTAATAATGATTTATACATGTATGGTCATAACGAGCTGAGCCGAACAGGTCCGTTTTAGAATCAAGAACTAAAGTAACTTTGAAAATCAAGTTATTATTATTATTATTATTATTATTATTATTATTATTATTATTAACCTTTCACAATGTGTTTATTTGTGGGTAGAAAAACTGTTTGACAGACAACTGTTTCCCTAAAATCTGCTGAGTGGTTCATATCAACAGGCGGTGATAAATGCCCCAAAACGCATACTATTATTATTATTATTATTATTATTATTATTATTATTATTATTATTATGACATTTCTCCCCTGCTCGTGTTTCCATTCCAGCAATCGAGAAACCAGGAGCCAGAGATTCCTCCCCGACCTCTGGCACGGACAGAGACTCCCCGGACCTTGTGCTCAAATCCGAGCCGGACGCGAAAGACGACGACGACGAGGACGAGGACGAGCACAGCAACAACAAAAGCAGCGACGAGATCATCCTGGAGGAGAGCGACGCGGAGGAGGCCAAGAAGGACGAGCTGGAGGAGTGGAAGAAGCGCGACGAGGACAAGAAGCCGTGCCGCAAGAAGAAAACGCGCACAGTGTTCTCCCGGAGCCAGGTGTTCCAGCTGGAGTCCACCTTCGACATGAAGCGCTACCTGAGCAGCTCGGAGCGCGCCGGTCTGGCCGCCTCGCTGCACCTGACGGAGACCCAGGTGAAGATCTGGTTTCAGAACCGGCGGAACAAGTGGAAGCGGCAGCTGGCCGCCGAGCTGGAGGCCGCCAACCTGAGCCACGCCGCGGCGCAGAGGATAGTCCGGGTGCCCATCCTCTATCACGAGAACTCTGCCTCGGAGGGCGCGGGGGGCGCGGCGGCCAGCGTGCCCGTCAGCCAGCCGCTGCTCACCTTCCCGCACCCGGGAGTCTACTATTCCCATCCCATCGTCACGTCTGTGCCGCTGCTCAGACCGGTTTGAAAACCGCCGAAAAGAGTTTTGATGTTTCATCTTATGACAAAATAATAATAAAAAAAGAAAGACAATATTTTTTTAATACAAAGTCAGACACTGCGAAAAAAACAACAAAAAAAACTAAGAAGAGACTGTCACTGTCAGGCAAACATGGACTTATTTTGTCAGATAGGTAATTGTGTCATTTTCCATAAGGGTACCGTTTATTATTATTATTATTATTATTATTATTATTATTATTATTATTATTATTATTATTATTATTATTATTATTATTGACATCTCAGGAGTCTGCCCACTGTATGAGTGTATTTTTTTCTTATTTTTTTGTTTTAAAACCTGATTGTTGCTGGACAGGCCATATCTGTGCGATGCAAAAAAAAAAAAAAAAAAAAAAAGGAAGTGGGGCGTGGGGAAATCTTGTTTACATAAAAGTGGTGACCTTCTTCTCACTTAACACCCTCATTTGAATTTTATTTCCTTTTCAAGAGCTGGTGACACTGCTGTCAGATGAGTGAATTCACTAAACGTGGAACACTTGTTTTGATCTTTTTTTTTCTTTCCTTTTTTTAAGCGCTTGAAGGGGGACAATCAAGACACTCTAGCTGTAAAAAAAATATCCACGTAGCTTTCTGTTTTTAGTGATTCTTTTAAACGCTCCTTCCACACAGACAGTTCTCTTAAGCACAAGTCTCCAATGACAATTTGTGTTTTTGAAACGGAGGGATTAAAAATAACGAGACAAAAAAAAAATCACTGGTGTAAAAAAAATGTAAATGTATATATTTAATGAGACGCGGAAAAAAGAAAATTCCTTACACGCTTCTCATTTGTAAAGTAAAAAAAAACCACGTTTTGATATTGTATTGCTGGATCATGTTGTGAAATAAATCGAAAATATTCCTTACGTTTCGTTTTTTGCCTTATTACACTTTTGTTTTGTTTTGTTTTCTCGCTACCATTTAATATATGTAAATATGTAATTAAAAGTTAAAGCAGGACTTTACCCACTCACTCTTTGAGCAACAGCAGGTGGCTTCTCTGCCGTCGCCCAAAACGTCATTTTACATAAAGAGTGGCTCGGTCAATTACGTGCGTAATTGGCACCATCACGGGTAATGTATTCGAGGACATTATTCTCCAAGTACGAGCGTTTGTGTCATGTCAATCTGAAAATATCGATTTATTATTGTTCTTGCATTTGTTTTATTTTTAGCTTGTTGTTTTCACCATAAACTTTTTATTTTTTATTTTTTATTTTTTTGCATGGCTTATTATGAACTTATGTGTAGCTTGTTTATTACATCACTTGAATTTAAATACGATAAAGCAATTTAGCAACATTAAAAATAGCCTATAATATTGACTGGTAACGGCTTTTCTTTTCTTTTTTAAATCTGTGATTACATATAAATAATAACATAATAGTAATAGTGCACAATTAAAGCTTGCAGTATTCTACCGTAACCCAAATTACAGCCCCATCCATATTAAAATGTGCACAAAAAAAAGAAAAAAAAAGATGTAAATCTTCAAATTAGAGATACATTATTTAACAGGTACTTTGTCTCAGAAGGTTCTACAGGTGTCACTGCACTCCTGAGGTCTATCTCATACCGGGAACATATGATGGCAAGGTCATCATATGTTACAACCAAAACACCTAAAAAAGTGGATTAAGCTGTCAAGTGTGCCCTTTATAATGACGAACACCTTATTCAGTCTGGTTCGTAATTATTTAGGACGCGTTTGTGAAGTTTGAATAAAGATACAAAACACAACAACGGGACCTTTTTTATTTTTTTTTTTTTTTTTAAAGGCCTTCTTCTACATGAATCAGATCAGACGTAGAGACACATGGTGTGTTTATATCTCTTTTTAAAATGCTCATATTCTGTCCAAAGTTTATGAGGGAGAAAAACACGGAACTCAGACCAGGAAGGTGAAGAGAGCATCTCGCTTGTGCAGAAACGATAATCTGATGGTGATATTTAAATATTGTTGTGGCGAAGTTTTTTTTTTTTCAGTTTTGTCTTTCTTTCTATTTTACAAACATAATTCTCCACTAGATTTTATTTAGGCGTCAGGGGCTGGTTAGTAACTGTCGATTAATTAAATCTTAAATCTCTTACATATATATATATATATATATATATATATATATATATATATATATATGGATTGATTTTCATTATTGGAAACTAATCAGTCAGTATGAACTCTGTTGTGATGACCTCATCAAGAGACAAAGGGTTCATTCAAATATCATCATATCATCCGGGTATATTGACGCGTACCTTACCATGAACACTCAACACGGCCCCATTACTGCAAATTAATAGATTAGTATAGCATTATTCCTCTGGCACATATCGATCTGTGAACGTCTGCAGCACGCTGCGTCAAGTAAAGCGCAGCAGCTTTCACACGCTGCTTCGGCCAAGCTCATGACCTTGATTTGCGCGCATAAATTGAAAAAAAAAAAAAAAAAAGTCACCACTCGATAATTTCCATTTGTGCGACATCTTTATGTAAAGGAGTGGAGGGGAGGGTGGAGCAGAGCGGGAAAAAAAATCAGATTAAACGCATTTGCACGAACAGGGACAAACTGACGTGACTGGGTGTATTGTATTAAAATGGAGAGCTGAATGGATAATATTCAGCAGTCCCCGTCACAGGACTCAGGGGCCAGTTGGGAGACACTCAAGTAAGTGGACTTCTTGCATAATACCAACCTGGTATTTTTATTAGCGAGTGTCATGCGCAGAGGTTAAAGCGTCCATATCAAGAATTTTGTCGCAAAAACGGACCCTGTGAGGCAAGAAAAACAAAACAAACAAAAAAACAGGGGCACATCGAGGAATTTTTCAAAGTGGTGGCCAGATAAGTGTCACTTATGATTGGTGTGGGTCACTGAAAGCAAACACGTGAAAGAATTTCAAAAGTTTTGATAATTCCATGTCATGTTTCTGTGGATCAGTTTTTGGGGGCTTGTGAGAAGAAGGAGTGCTGCTATGAAATAAAGGGCATCACACAGAATGCATATGTTGATATGGGTATCCCCATTATGGGTTACATGAGCCTTACATGTAAATCATCAGTGTCAAATGGACACCACATGAATTTCAAAGGCTTCGTGCGGGAATCATATGAAATTTACGGCTTTCCCGTGTGCATCGTGCATAATTTTGAAGATTTACTTGTACACCACATTAGTTTTCTTGGTCCCACGTGGTCTTTACATGAAGTTTATCATTCCAGATGGGCATCACATAAAGTTTAGTGATTTCACATAGATGCCATATGTGATTTACAAGTTTCACGGTGGCATCACAAGCATTAAGTTTATGGGTATCTGTTGGGTACCTCTAGTACATCACAAAGGTTTCACATGTCAGCGTACATGTCTTTCACATATACACCATCAAAATGTTCTAAATCTTTTTTTTTTCTTTATGCAAAGCGTTTTACATTATCCAACATACAATTTTAATGCAATGCTTCACATGGTCATCACGCTCATGTGACCTTACGTTTTCCAATGTGATTTATGAAATGTAAAATTGTGTCTTTCTGTCAGGGTTTAACTGCAAATGTTCAATGTAATAATGGCTGTGCTTCATGTGAATGTACTTTGAAGCTTTATTGTCTCAATGTTGCTGTTTTTTTTTCATTATATACAAAGACAGACAAACAAAAAACACTAGCTACTTTGTTCATCTTATTGACCATAAAATGATTTAAGCAATGTTGGCTGTGTTTTCTATATCTATGTTTTTCAAGACACAGGCCCTAACAGTGCATGCATTGAAGTGAACTTTGGAAAAGCATTGGACTAAATGCCAAAGAAATCTTAACAAACATAACACGTGAGGATAAATTTGATCATTTTCTGATCAAATGTACTAATGAGTCGTCCACAAATATACAAACTCACATTTAAATGGAGTTTGTCCCCTAGACAGTCAAGACCCAAGAGATTGGTTTGTGTTTCCAACAGACATGCTATGTAGTCAATTAATTTAGTTTATTTCAATGAAGCAGGTTCACAGCAAATGCCATCTCAATTAAAACACTTGACAAAAGTTCAGTTTATTTAGTTTAGGTTTAAGTTGTCCATTTAAGGCAGGTCATTCAGTTGCTCAATCCCTTCGCAGCAATCCCTTTTTCTGAGAAAGCATGTGGCGACAGTGGACGTTTGATTTCAGCAAATTGAAGAATATGTTGTTGACCTCCTTTGGAGTTATAATTTGACTGATTGAATAAACGCTGCTACCCCTTGAAGCTTATTCTCTCCAATCTTAAAGAAAATATTCTTATTTTTCAATATGAATTAGAAAGCTGATGCTGCTAATCTTCGGAGTTTCTGTAACTTTATCATTAAGGATGCTTGGGCAAAAACGGTCAAACTTGATTGTGAAAGAAAACAAAACCCTCAGCCTCCACAATTAAATGTAGAGTATCAAGCAACAGATAAATGCCAATCAATAATCAGAGACCATACAAAGGTGATGCCCTCACCGCGCGCTCCCGCGTCACACATCACGCGTCTGAAGAGGAAATCTTGTTTTTCTACCGACGCCATTTGCTTTCCTGATTGAACGCAGGGCATCAGATTTTCATCAAAGTTCTATTAAGTGAAACATAGGTTGCAGAGCAGCGTCTGATTGGAACAGTTTAAATTTTAATTGTGTTTTTAATTTGACATATAGTTGCTGTGAAGAATGACACCAAAACGCCGAGGGGGCGGTCGATTTTCTTAATTTCTCCCCGAGGAATTGATGAGTCTATCAGGGCAGTAGATTGGAAAGCCATTAAAACTCAATGGTTGGGTTGTTAATTGGAACTTGATGGATAGGAGCCCTTGGATAGGCTGTGGCTGATCCAATCTTCCTGACTTTGTGTTTTCCAATAAATTACCCAGTTCATTTCCACACTCGGATTACATAAATTGTACACCTTCAGGGCTCGGCTGCTCTGCTTGCATTTACAACTCTCTCCTCTCTCTCTCTGTCTATCTCTCTCTCTTTCATTCACACGCACGCAAGAAAGGCGCGCACAGAGGAGGAGGGGGGAAAAAAGGGAGCAGCCACCGCTTTCTTGAATGAAAATCGAAACATAATCAACGTTTATACTTAGAAAATTTATTGATATCATTTTCTCTGGTAATTTCCTTATTCTAGACTTGGACACGCCATATATCATAATACACACGTGTAAAGGCTCTTTGTTTAATATTTATCGGAGCTTGATTCCCAGATCAAAGCGCCTCATAACTTCATCTGTCTTTCTCAGAGCTTTCTCTCCTGCTAAAGATCTTGTTCAGTTATTGTGGTAGGCCGGCCGTACGCCACCTATCATTGTGATAGAGCGCGAACTTAAGGCGCGCTCCTCTGCTGTTCGGGCCTGAAGACACACAGGGAGGGGATTATTGTTGCCACAATACCAGAAAACAACCACAGCTCGCCTTTTGCCGCTACTGACCTGTAAACGTCAGCTTTCCCCATCAAGGTGGTATGCGTAATTTATTCTTTTTTTTTTTAACACTACAGCAACGCGTCGTGTCCACCATCACCGATATTTTTGTTAAAGTAGTCTGAAAGTGACGGAAGAGGCGCGGCGACGCGCTGACACGGGTCTTTGTATGAAAAAAGCGGCATATAAAAAATAAACCCATTTAAGTGTCATTGCAGATTTCACGCCTTATGTGTTACCACCATAAATCCAGCATCCGCCTCGACTGCCCTCGTATAATT